AAAAAAAAAAAAAAAAAGACACCCTAAAAATTAATAAACATGAATCTTGGGAAACAAAAAAATAAATGCTTCTGAACCTTAAAATCCTGAAACTGAAGAATCTTAGGAAAAACATGACGGAGTACAAAACTGAAACAGAAATAAGTGAATCAAAATATTAGGCTCCAATATCATTTAGACGGTTTAGCAAAAATTTCCCCATATAACCTTATATGCACAATAATCCATGCATCACACAGATCAAACTACAAAGTATATTAGATACAATAATCTTACAGCCAAAGCAGGTACAAAATCAATGATTGAAGATAAGATCGTTGAAATACAAATCATAGATTATCCAACAGCGGGGAGAAATAACAGCACTAACATATGCGTGTTTATGAAAGGAACCGAGAAATGACTAGAATGACATTCAACTTACATCAACTTGATTTGCGCTTCCAGACTCCGATAGGTCCCATTCATCCAAAAGACTGCCTTTTTTATCATTGGAACTGTAACCCTGCATTTCTATATAATTAATTCAAATAATTGGTAAACTATACAAATCTTTCACCAGCAGAGTACATTAGCACATCGAGGTTTCTAACAGGTTGGTAAAATAAGCAAATCCACATATAAGAGTCATTTTATAAAGAAAACCGCAATAGAGCGTATAATTAATCAACACCAGCCGCAGCGGGAGAGAAAATGGAGAAAAAAGTAAATACCTTAAGTATGTCATCTTCAAGTTTCTGGATGAGCCTCTGCTGTTCGTCGACCTGAGCTGTTAGCTCTCTAATCTTGACTTCAGCTACTTCCAGCAAATCTGACTTTTCAGCAATTTTGACCTGAGAGGAGTGGGAAGATATTGGTTACCCAACTAAATATCAATGTGATTGAATATCCGTAAATAATACCATTTGCAGCAATTGCACCCCTCAGTTTACAGTACTGGTACCTTAAGCATATCCTCAAAAATAAATTCCACGCAGCAGAGCAAAATACCTTAAACTGTGTCAGTTCATGCTCCATTTTCCGGTTCTTGTCCAGAAGTAATGATTCTAGTTTACTCATTTCTTCCCCACTTGTAGCTGCTTCCCAGTCCTCAGCCTCAATCGAATTGTAGCCCACAGCCTAGGAAAGTCATATATTGATTCACTGTTCCGCAAATTGGTAAAGCACTCATAATGATATCCAAATTACATATATTTATACATGCATGTAAATATGAGTACACTTTTTAACAACTAATTTGTTGACCCAAATTAATTTTTAACCTACTCTTAGCAAACAAATCATTTTGTGCATTAGGACAGAATTGAATTCCAAAAAGGGGCACTAGAAGAAGTGCCAAGGCTACCATAGAAACAGACAAGACCGAAAAGGTCATAACCTAACTGAAAATCCAAAGTTATTCTGATCTTAACAGAAAAAATCTCAGACAGTCTTTTCTTCAGAAGACAATATGGATATACCCATGCTACATTCTGAGAGGATAATTTGGAAACCTGTTAATACCTTTAGATCAAACACCATACAATTAAAATAACGCTTGGCAAGTGCCTCTTTTTTAAGAAGTTCACATTAATGACTGAGAAAAGAGCACTTGAAAGCAGTATCAACACAGTACTCTGTTAATAAAACTTGGGGAATGAAAAAGTAGCAAGCCTTCAAGGTTTACGAAAGTGCCAGAAAAGATATATGCAATTCATCTGGTATTCAGAAACGTTTAATGATATTAATGTCCCCTACAATATTAACTAAAGCACATGATCAGTAACATGGATGCTTCCATGAGTAGTAAGCTTGACATTACCTGTAAAATTTTTACTTTCTTACGTAAATCATCAACTAGTTTCTCAGTTGGCCTGGCCTGAAGCTCTTTCTTCAACTCCTCTAGCTCAGTTTCCTATGGCATATTTCCAACAAAGAGGAGGAAACAAGTAAACAAAAATAGTAACAAATCTTGAACCAAATTGAAAAGAAGCCAATTCCAAGTGTTTTTTCACTTTAAACATCTGCAAAGAATATTGGAAAAGAATGTCAATTAAATACCTTTATAAGTTGATTGAGGTATACTAAATTCGCCTAAACATGAGAGAGCAAAACAAATTGTGAAATATTGTCTTTGCATGTTCCATCATTAATTCATCCAAAGCACTAAGTAAACAATACACGATGAAGCAAATGACTTCAGCACCGATCTGACTAATAGTGGGTAAATTCAGGAGTAAAACCAGCTGACTACCAAGAAACAGAAGATTCTGGAATGAATTCAGGCTTAAGGTATCTGGGTTAATCATAACCCAATCTAATAGGACTTCAAAGTTCTTGGCATCTCTAGCTTGATCATAAGCCCAATCTATTGGTGTCTATACTTTCATCTCATACATAACTGCAAGAAATGTATATTATAATTTGGATTTGAATCTGAATTCAAACAAGCATACCTTAACTAGGAAAAAAAATTAATTTAACAGTTCCATGATACACACCACATTTTACATGATGTAGTGCTTGGTCGCACAGAAACCTTAAGACTCCAACTAAACCAAGTTGTGCACAAAAGAAGACAAATGAGAGGAAACTTCCTTCGTTATTCCTTGCAGCGCCTAGAAAATAACTCACTCAAAAGAAATGCATCTTTTTTCAGGGTTAAACAACGTGACTGTGGTACTAACACTTGTATGGTTTAAACTGCAGAGTGCATATACCTAGAGGAAAGCTGACTATTGTTGATAATTTATAAGCATAGCAACTTCCATATCTCTCTCGAACAAAAGCTCATAAGAAATTTAAAACTATAAGGAATACCTTCACATGGAGCATAACCTTCAAGTTCTTCAGCTCATTCAAATGATATTCCCGCTCATTAGACAGTGTTGTCTCAATTTTGTGAAGTTCCATATTCAATTCAGATATTATCTTTTCCTTTGCAATGAGGGAATTCTCCAGCATGGTACTTGCATCCACACTATCACTGTAAGAGTAACTTTTGTTAGGGGGGGGTGGGGGGAGCCACATACTAACACAAAACCGGGATTAGCTCAAGCCATTCAACCAAAAAGGGAATAGCGTTCAGATAAAAGAAATCCAGGAATAGGTTATACTATAGTAAACTGGGTTTAATCATGTTATGGAAGCATAATATAGTAGTTACCATTTGTCTCCTCTCACTTGAGCAGGAGATCTAATAGGCAAAGATATATTTCAGTTGTGAGCAGCTAAAGACTACAGTTGTTTAAAAACACATCACTATTACAAATGCAATCATCACCACAAGTTTATAAATACCATAAGCTTTTCCATATATTATGACTCCATGGCTCACAGTTAGTCTTCTCTAGATTATGACTCCATGGCTCACAGTTAGTCTTCTCTAGATTGATACACGTAAAGTTTCACGCAAATTATTACACCTAAATTTCCAAGGATACATTAACCAGCTTCTTCTTTCAGCAAAAGTAAAAATACTGACTCAGGTTTGCTCACCAACTAATGTTTATCCACTTATTATTTGTTTTGGACGGATTTAATTCCTTTGATGTTCTCTATTTGATTTTTGGGATTAGATAGGGATTTTCGTGGACATGGAAACTAATAAGAGTTTTCAAAGTCCAACGACAACCAAAAATTTCAGCAGCCCAGTGTTAGGTCAGCATCACCCTATACCAGCCCAAGTCTTGCCCAATTTGACTAAGGTCTAAAATAAAGCCCCAGAAGTCATGGAAATTGGAAGGGTGATAGGGCTTCTTAGGGTTGAAGAGGCAAAGGCAGGTCGTAAATAAAGGGAGGGCAGAAACCATCACCCATATTCTGTGAAGAAAAATTAAGATGACAGAGCTTCTTGTTATCTAAGGCTCATACTTCCTAAAAGGAAATTGGTTGAACTTGACGTTACAGTTGATTTAGCTCGTCTAGCAAGGGTATAAGTTGGACTATGGAGAGTTTGCTTCACGTACTCATTTCATCTATACTTTCTTTGTGGTTTATTGTAGTTTTATTCATTGGGGCATAACTTATTTCAATTAATAATACTTCATTTTTCTTCATTGCTTTTGCTGATTCTATTGGATAACAAAAATTACAATTTCATAGTACACTCCCACGTTACCATTAATTAACAGATGAGAGTGTAGGAAAATATACATAGTAATTTGCAGTGTATGGAGCAGTCACGCACCATGTTGTTAAATTTGCAAAAGGAATCAAAATACACTAATACTCGAAGTATATATGGGAAAACTCCTTCAAACCTTCTTTTATTTCCGCTCTCATCATGAGCTGATTGTAACTGTGACCGTAGAAGACCCTAATCAAGAATGCAACAGAAATTGCCAATTAGCAAGCAACAGAGAAAGCAAAAAGTTGAAGCATTCGACAGTGCTACTCTTCTTTTCAATGTTTACAAAAAGTAATGTTTCATTTCCTCTCAATTATAATACAATGAGAAGGTGAAATTGATCGCTGGTTGTTTAAAATCTCAAGAATATTCTAGAAACATGGAGGAAGATCAAAATGAAGCAGATATCAGCTGCTGAATTTTAAAAAATATATTTCGTCTTTCACAAGTAAGTCTGTTGTACTTGTGCTAGCTTTTAACCACCAGGAAATAGAATGGGTTTATCTTCATGCAGTGGTTATACCACTAATTCGACCTACATTCTAAATGCTGCTTCCATCCACCACATACTCGGTAAAGGGAAACCTTAAGCTTTTCAATTTTCAGATGAGGTAAATGTCAGCATTGTGAACAATCATGTTGACCTTATTTAAGTTACTTGTCCAATAAGTTAAGTGTTATTTTAATAAAGATGTAAAAAAGAGTGTAGATGCACTAAATTCCTCACAAGTAATGCATTTAATAGTGCAATACTTCCACGTAACAAGTTTATAGGCTAATGAAGGGCAAAAATGCTATCATTTTCCGAAATCATTTTATTTGAAGTATGGACAAAAATACTGGCAAACTCAGCTATTATTTACAGTACATATTATTGGCATATATTTGTAATAATGCTTAAATCACCGAACAGATCAAGGGTAAATAAAAAAAGACAACATTGTTCCAAAAAACTGGAAAAGGGCTCTATATCCATCAGAAACCCTATCTCTTCACTCTATCTAATGTACTAGGCACAATTAGAACTTGTTCGCCAAATCAATATTTTAAAAAAACAACATTAAGCCTCAGGTTTTCGTGTTATGAAAATGTTCTATTGGTCCCAACAGATATGCCCTAACTTGCAGCATTGCAAGTTTCAACCTTCGACTTTCCTTTTTTTCAAATTTTTCCTTCAAATTCTTGTCAGAATCGAATTTCATGACATAAAGAAGTGCCAGTCAACACTAAGACCCTATTGTCAGTTAATGGCTGGAACAAATTCAGAGCAGTGAATATCAATAGGCAAACAGTCTAGTCACCTTCTCTCTTTCAAGACTGAGAAGGCGAGTTTGAGCTTGATCCACTTCATCCATTAGAAGATTAACTTCCGATTGCTTCGCAGCTCTCTCCTCTTCTGAGGTCACAGAAAGGATGGCATTAGAGCTAAGATTGAAACGTTTGGTATTAGCTCGAAAAAAAAAA